GATGTTGTCGTCTTCCACATCATTTAATTAGCAAGAAAAGCAAAATCTTGGTATAAATGTGCCATTTTTCAGTTGTAAATGCACTTGATTGTTTTCTACAAAGCAGAATTGATTCACAATCATTGGTCCATATTTGATCCCTTCTTACTATCGACTATAATTTCATAAGTATGACGCTGATTGACTGGGATGTCACTAAATCATGATTTCAAATGATCACAGCGAAAATAAAAAACTTATCAATATTCATGGTTAAAAATATCAATGTCATCAATTTGATTTGGTGCTCTTCTGTCCGGTTATGATTCGAAACTGAATGAATATAAAACTTTATCTAAACGAAAAATAATAAATTTTTTTTTTCAAATATATTTCATATATGTGCTGAAGAATATTTTTCTCATTTCTTTGTCGTATACAATATATTCAAGTGCTTCAGCTTGTGTTCAAAGTGTACTTATCACATGCGATATTTTCAATATCGTGAGATAATTATGATCCAGATATTTTCTTGTATTCTATTATCAATATTAATAAGTGATGGATGTTTGTTTTTTAATAAAACTTAATGTTAATTGAGATCTTTTTAATCTTCCATTCGCTATGTGAAATGTATTCGTTGCCATACTCATAAAAGGGCTAAAGAAGGATCTGAAATGATAATTGTAACCATATCAGTAAGTTATGTTTGAGTTTCGTATGTATTTTTTCTTTTATATATATAAAATTCCGTAATTCACAGCTCAATCTTTTACAGCATTACAAATAAAAACAAGAAGGTAGATAGATACTGAACATAAAACTCCTTATCTTTTTATTAACTGTTTTAAATCGAAATGAGAAAATAAACAAGAAAAGGGAGACAATCAAAGATAAATAAGAAGAAAATCTATTGGTATGATACAAAGGACTACCCCCGCAATAGAAGACCCTGGGTCTTCTATTGCATCCTTCTGAATAAAGTTCTCAGAGGGGTATTTTATTTAGGGGGGGGGTCTTCTAAATAGTTTTTTTGCTTCAAATTTGTATGGAAACAAAATTTTAGGTTTCATCCTTTTATTAGATTACTTTCATTGAATAATGACAAGAAAAAAACAGTACAAAATATAAAAACAATTATTTTTTATTTTTCCACATATTGATTAATGTTAATTGTTTCGTTTGAGTTGATGTAATTTGAGTACGCTGTTGTTCTAAAGCTTCTTCAGCAACAATATCAATACGATCTTCATTATCGTCGATTAATGACAAACAGTCAACTGATGTCGGACCAAATGTATACCCGGGCATTGAACGAAGTGAGACAGGTGAATTGTTTGTCCAAATATAATCGATGCCTTGAAAAGCTTTAAGAAAATCGACGCTTTTCAATGTTTGTATCCGCGCAGACCAAGTAAATCTGGTGCAAAGAATACGTGATTGTGATGCTGTAAGTTTTATTTTACTCATAAGCCCATTCTTTTCTATAAATTCCTCCACTACATCATCGTAATGATTTTTAATAACCGTCAAAAACGAGTGGTGGTTGCAATTGTACCCAAATGCTGCACACTGTACGTGCAAGTACTTGATACAGCTATTGTGTCGGT